TTTTAAAAATATTTTAACAAATTAATGTTTTTTGTAATAATTTAATTATTAAATATTACTTTAAAACTATTTATTATAAATTTTTAAATTTTAATAAAATGTTTATAAATCAAAAATTTAATATATATAATAATTTCTTATAAATTATCTTAATTAGATTTATTAAATAATTTATCTGAAAATTATTAACTAATAATTAATTTGTTTTGCAATAAGAATGTTGGTTTATTTTTAAAATAAACATTTAGAATTTTAAATTTAGGATCTATCAATAAAATAATTTGAAATTTATAATATAGTATAAATTAATATAATTTAACAGTTTAGGTGAACCTTATTAATTTAGTAACAAAAGAAAAATGGATGAAAGAATTGTTACAAAACTTTTATTCTTTTAATTATTCATTAATCTACTAATCTTCATTAAACTGAATTCTTTAAAAAATATTTTATACAAAAATAAATCTTAATTCCAACATAATATGTGCTTTTGAAAATATACGTTAACGACAAAATAAACTATAATCATTTGACCAAAGAGAAATTATGTCATAACAGCAAATCTTTAGGGTTATTTCGTCATTTTCATATGCTTGCTCAAAACAGAGATTCTAGAAGTGCTTTTGAAGAAATTATTTTAACCCCACGAGTAATCGTGTACCTTCAATCTATAAAGGTTATGGTCTTATTAAATTGATTTTGTTCTCCGAACCAGATTTGGGTAAAGAAATTGTTATTGTTCCGCTTTTGTTTCCAAAATTACACTAGGTTGGTTGAACAATAGCTGCCGATCATATCTAAAACGCGTAAAACATAAGCAAGTATTTCTTGCCGTGCCACAAGGCTTACGAATATATTTTTGTTCTATTGTTTCCTAATTTTGAATAGAATTGGAAATATAAAGCGGAGCTTTACAGCAATCAAAACAAATTGTAAAAAAAGGTAAAAAAATTATAAATAAAAATTATATAAATTAAAAGTATTATAAAAATCAATTCGTATAAACATGTCTTCGGAATTTTGGTCCGACGTAATTAACGATTACGAAAACTTATTTGAAACAGAAGAAGGATATGATACAATTATTTACGTTGGTGAAAGCAAGGAAGAAATCCACGCACATTCGATAATCATGCGCTCTAGATGTCAATATTTTCGAGCGGCACTTTCGGATAAATGGGTTGAGAAAAAGGATGGAAAATTTATCTTTACAAAACCAAATATCGAACCCACCGTATTTCGAGTTATTCTTAGGTAATGTACAAATTTCCACAAAGTGAGAAAAAATAAAAAAAAAATAAGGCGTTTGAGATTATTAATAATGATTTATATTTATATATATATTGCTTTAGGTTTATTTACTGCGGAAATGTTGATTTGACCGGATTACAGAAACTTGAATTGCTACAACTTTTCATGGCATTGGATGAAATTAATATCCAACCGTTAATGACTCATGTTCAAAAATACTTAACAGAGCATATAGCAATGTTCACTAAATTTGATTCCATAGAAATGCTTAAAATAATTCATCAACATGAATTTTTTACAGAATTATGGGATGAACATCTTGAAATTATCTGTGAAGAACCAAGAGTTTTATTATCTTCAAAAGATTTTACCTCTCTGAGTGAAATGTTCTTAATGGATATTCTCAAATGCAACACATTGAAGGTTGATGAAATCACAATTTGGGAGAGTGTATTAAAATGGGGACTTGATAAACATCCATCATTTGTCAAGGACGCTAAGAAATGGGATAAAGCACAATTTAAGATTTTAAGAACCACACTTAATAAGATCATTCCCTTAGTTAACTTTCGTGATTTTGATTCAACAACTTTTTTTTATCAAGTGTTGCCATATCAAAAATTATTGCCAAAGGACGAATTATATGATATCTTGGAAAAGCATTTGGTTCGGATAAATAATAGACCCACGTTAACTAGATATCGTCAAGCTTCTAATTCCAACATCCTTAATCTGCATCATTTAGCCATCTTCTCGACTTGGATGGATAAGAAAAATTCATATTACAAAATACACAAAAATCCTCATAAATTTAAATCATTATATCATCAATTATTATGTGAGGACTTTTATTTCAAATCAAATATCATGGATCTTGGAATGCTTCATTCATCTTGTATTAACGCAAAAGCTACTTTAATTGTGGCAAAGATCAAAGATTCAGATCAATTGGTTGGAGGATTTATTCCAATTCGATTAAGAAAACCTGTGCCTACGAAGGTTTCTAATTATATCTCTACAAAGGATAGTTTTATTTTCTACTTTACGAATTGCAATGATGTTAAAACAGGAAAATTCGCTTACGTCACTGAAAAAAAAGATGCGATACATTATAATGACAGATGTGAAATTGGATTTGGTAGCGGTCACGATTTAAATTGTAAAAGTGACGGAAATTGGACAAGCGTGCCTACTTATTACCCTTCAATCGGTATTCCAGCCGTTTTTAAAATATCACAATACGAAATATTTGAAGTCGTTAGATTCTTTAATGGCAAATAAATTTACGATATGTATATATATAAATATATATTATCTCAATTCTGTATATGTAGCATACATTCATTAATAATAAAATCATTTTTTTTTTCTTTTCGGTAAAATAAAAATTTGTCTCGGTCATCTATTCAATTTAAACACTATATAAAATCAGCTCTTTTATTTTTTTAAAATCTGTATTTTGTGATAAGGTATATATATTGTGACAAAATAATGTAATGTAAGGTTAACTGTGCAAACTTCAGGAAAATTAATTCCTCTTGAGTTTGTCCCGGTTTTTGCTGTTTGAAAAAATTATTGGGATCCTCTCTCTATGAAAAAAATTATTATATTTTTTTTGTGTTGCCCTCTTTGAATTTCAATTTCAAAACCATATCAGATATTCTGGATAAAAAAATATCGAGTTGTAGCCTTAAGAAATTTGATCAGCGATTTTCTGATGAAGGTTCATTTCACGTTTATTTTGACAAAGAGACACCATGAGCCATGATACTTTACATTATGTGTGGTATTCCATATATTTCCTTTTAGAGCAATTCCATAATGCACATCTTTAGAACTACCCCGAAGGACGGTTCCCATTTCGTGTTCAACCTTTGCATATCCTCAATGTTCTGATTACGTTCAACACCATGAATCTTGATCATTTACACTTTCAAATGCTGCATTATGAACTTTCGCACATTTTCGCCACAAATGAGATGAACCATTTATTTGAAACACAATCTCCACCTTACTAATTGCAAATCATCTTGGCATTATAAATATATAGATTATAATTGCAATTTTGTCAATAAAAATATTATTCCAAAACCTTAATTATTTTAGATAAATTTAATAATCAATTAACATAATTAGAGAGTACCCATACGGATTTTTCTAAATATATTGATAAATGCTGAAAATCATAAATAGTGGTATGATCAGCAAACTAAAAACGGCTTCTTTCAAATTCAATGTTCATTGCGCCATCATTGCTTCTGATACCCGACCCGATTGGCGCAGTAATTACATTAATGCGTTTACATAAATCGGAGATTTTATAAGCGTCTGTGCATCATAAAAAATAATAATAATAATAATAATAATTTTTTTTTCTAATAAATGCAAGATAAAAAAAACGTGGCAAATGTTCTATTTTTTTTGATTTGATTAATTAACCATTAATTACCTCATTTCATTAATTGATTGAAGTTTGCACCTATAAAAATAAGTCAAACAATTATTTCAAAATTCAAACTAAAAATGGTTAAGACAGTCTCGAACAAAGAAACAATGTAAGATTCCTTTCCATAATTGAGTTTGTGATGCATTGTGGCGTATAAATACAACATTTATGTAATACAAAAGCTCATCCTCTCCGATTTTATTATATTTTCCCCTTCTTTCTTGAACTTTACAAAAATCATCCATCGTAACAAAAAAAAAAATTTTACTTCATTTTATTTTATATTAATTTTTTTTTTTTTAAAAAAAAAAAAAAATAGCCATTTTATTTGTAACATAAAAAAAAGAATACGATACCTTTTAGATAGAATGGCCAGTTTGAAAGAAATCAAATCATGTGAGATCGTCCTTCCATCACCCAGCCTTTATATTCCAAATGGGACATCACCATTAACGATCAAAGGAGACATTAAACTTGTACTTTCTGCTCCATTAAAAGTTACTCAAGTCGTATTGAAGCTTCATGGATTTTCTCAATTTAATAATTCTCAAAAATCTGCAACACGTAATCTTACAACCAAAGATTTGATTAAACAAAAACTTACTGTCGTCAACGTTACAAAAACGTACAACACTGGTGAAAATTTACTTCCCTTCGCGATCACCATAAAAACTCCACAAAATCTTCTTGGAAGTGTAGAAGGTAAACATGCTGCTGTGCGTTATGTTTTAACTGCCGAATTAACTAAAGCAAGTCCACATGCTATTCACAAAACTTTAAAGAATGTAATTCTTCGTAAAAATGTATTTGCGAATGGGGTTAATATTGATGAGAAAGTCGTGTATGAAGATGAAAGGGAAGGATTATTGAAGTACAAAGTTCAGGTTTCCAAATTTGTGGTCATTGAAGATGAAGGAGATGTCGGAGAAGACGAAGAAGATACATCTTCTAGTGAACCTCGCGCTAAAGTCAAAGTAGAAGCTACATTTGAATCATTGGATAATGCTGGCGTTAAGGAAGTGAAAGTTGAAGCCTTTGAGTATGAAATGTATAATCTTGCAAAATTCAATTCTACAACCGGATCTGCTTCATTAAATAATTCTTCCGCTCCAAAATCGTAAGTTTTGAAATATCTTTTGTTCCCCCTTTTTTTTTTTTTTTCATATCATTAATATTTCTTCATTTCTTAATAGAACAACTTCAGCTCCCAAGACCAAAACTCCGACAACAAGAGCCACAGCAAAGATTCCAGCATTTTCTAATGTTAATATACCAAATCCTCATCATACCAAACCTCTTCTAACCCCCCCTCTTACGATTCCGGTGTCCTCTAATGCATCTGAGCCTGTCTCATTTGAAATTCCGATATTCATTAGAATGAAGCCTGATTCGAATGTTAATTTCTTGGAAATCAAACATGAAGTTATCATGACGATAAGATTCGATAAATTCATGTTAGCTCCGTTGAAACTTGAAGTTCCTATTTCCGTTATAACCAATAAATCATAGTAAATTTTAATATAAAAATTATTTTAGTATTTCATTAATCAGATTTTTTTAAAAATTAAAAATTAATTAGATTTGTTTCTTTTTTTCAATTTTTTTTTTTTTTTTTTTGTTATATGGTTGTTTATTGAATAAATGAACGTGTGAAAATTTTAATTAAAATTAATAAAGGGAAGAGAAATTTTATTTACGAATGAAAGAGATTTCCTAAAAAAAAAAATGTTGTGTATGGTAAAATCGAGAAAATATGTGTGATGCATAAAACGTAATACAACGTTCATACACAAACACGAGCAAGATTTCCAAAAATAATTCTAATATGTGAGTCTGGTATACCATACGTAAATTATTTCATCAATTCAGAAAATTCGTAATAACAAAAGAAAATAGCGTATGCTAAAAACATTAAAGAGATACAACATTCTGGCGCGAATGTAAAATCCGAATACGCATTTGACTGCTTATTTATAGCTCATTTAAATTTGTTTAAAACAACCTGACATAATTATCATTATCAAAGGATCATTGTTTTTATAGTAATACAATAACATGTTATACTTGTTGTGCTTATTTTGAATTCTATAAATGCGTTAGATTGTAGAATTTGAAAAAATCTCATCCAATTAGTAAATGGAAGGCGTAGTATCGACGCGATTAATCAGCAGCCTTTCAAAACTAATGATCACATTTACATGACATCGGTCTTGACCCAACACATAAAAATATATACTACTATCATTATTCTCTTATGTTACCACCCACCTTTTGAAACTAGGTATATTTTTTAAAAACTTCCAATTCTTATATGAAAGATTCCCTCCCTAATATTTTCTTGCGGCATTAACCTTTTTTTTTTTCGAAATAAAGTTCAAAATTTAACTGCCTAGTACAGCAACGTATTTATTTTCACCAAGAGTTGTTTTGTTTATAGAACCTGATGCATATCTTCGTGAAAAAAGAGAAATTATCTGCTTTATAACATCAAAATCTGCTGAAAATAATATTTCAAATGCACAATTTATTCTTGCAATTTGTTATAAAGATGGTCACCAAACTTAATGGTTATACCAATTATATAATTAACTCATTTTTTTTTACGTCGAGACATTACATTTATTAAGGTATGAACCTACCTACTTATATGTTATGATAATACACTTTCATTCTACACAATTCCGAAACGAAAATTCTGAAAATAAATCAAAAGTACCTGTTTATCGATATGGACACTGCGTAACTCTTATAGTATACATCACGTTAGTCCTTCCGCAATGCTAGGAAATTATTCAGGATATAAAAATTAAAAAAAAAAAACTTTTATCTTGTGATATCACAAAATCCATTTCATTTGTATATCTTTCAAGCCGTTATAAATTTATTTACGCATTTAACTTGCAATCATTTTATTTTCATATTTTTGAAGTGTTTCTCTATTTAAGGAATCCCTGTTTCAAATCTTTTATAAGAATTTACGCTAAGTCGGATTTCAAGCGATTTTATTGACAGATATTTGCGACGATCGAGGAGAGTTATTTGCATTTTTTTTTTTTTACCAAAAAAAAATATTCAATTATTTGCAGGAACTAGCAAATGATTAAGAAAATTATTCAAGACGAAGTGATTATTTACGCCGGAGAAAATGAAAGCGAATAGATTTCATGAAATTATGACTGGTGAAAATATGTTAAAGAATAACGAAATAATAATGTAACTACCATTAAACGATACTAGCAGTGCAGTGTCCAGTTTAAAATTGTCTAATATCTTTTTAATATATGTAATATCTTATCATCATAGACATGTATGTGTGATTTATCAAATGAAAATTAGGTGTGACGTGACCTCACCATTCGTTTTTTTTTTTTTTTTTTTTTTTAGTATTTCACACTTTTTTTCCAGTAAACTTATACATTTTTAAAACAGGTGAATCAACTTGTCGGAGCAGGAATTTTTGCCTGCTTTTATGTTGATAATATATACCACCCTTTTATGGAATATAAAGTTTAAAGACTTTTGGCATCAGTTTGTGGAAATGACTAATATGTACTTTATTTTTATCAAACCTTAACGCATTGAATTCTGAAGTATTCGAATATAATATGATTGGATCCAATACATTTGACAGCATTGAATCAAAAACGCATCCAAAAACATTAATTAAGAATGAATTGAATATCCTATTAGTAAATGTTCTGAAATCATTAAACCTTGAAAAGATAAACGCAATTTGTAATCCCGACATCTGTTCGCAAGACTCGCATAATTCCGAAGGTGTAAGAAAATAATTAAGGGGTTTGTTCCTCACTGTATAATTATTTGTTACATAAACACCACTTTTCGGGGTAGATCATGTGATGACCTACCTCCTCCTTTTACACCAACCCTTTGCGTCCTAAACCTCTTACACCTCTACATCTCCTCACTTCAATATCTCCACTTCCTTAAGTTTTCTTCTTGTGTAATAATAATAATAAGGTTAGGGTTAAGTGTAACCTTAGCGGTTACCTAAACATGTTGTTGCGGATGTATGTAAAGTATCTTTTACATTTTTCCAAACAAGGAAATTAAATTTGGATCTGCTATTTGCTGAGATACAAAACATGGACTAATCAAAATGTAGACGATGATATGATATTTGTTTTATCGTATAAATAATAAAATATTAACAGGAAGAAAACCACCCGCGATAAATTATATGTAAATATTTATCAATCAGGAATCCTAGTAGTAATTCTGATTATACAGTGCAAACAACTTAGTCCCAACGAATAAAATTAATAAAATGCAAATTACTACTACTCACTCAAAAAAAAATAATAAGCATAAAATATAATCATAGAATGATAGAGTAACTCAAGCTTAACTAAACTATGATTTTAATTTTTTTATAAAATGATTTTTGGTAGAGTATTAGCAATTCAAAGTCAGACCATTTTACTATTAAATCAGATATTTTGGCCGCTCTACACGTGATACACGTGATCATAATTCCTATCGTTGATTGGCTGATTTACATTTTGTAACACTGGGCTCTCTTTAATCGTATTTTGCTGAGAATAAAACAAATTTGTCTCCTATTCTGTCACAATAAAGTGTTCTGTCACAGTAAAGTGTTCTGTTAAAATAAAATGTTCATTTCAAAATCTAAAAGCATTAATGTTTAAATAAAAATAAGTTTATTAAGTTTTTTGCATTAATTATTATTATCGGTATTTGCATAATACTAATTTTTTTCTTTTTTTTGCCTATAGCCAATGCGAATAAATTTATGCAAATAAAAACTAATTTACTAAATATCAACTGATTGTAAGACTGAATCAGGAACCCAACAGTGTGAATGATACTTTTAACTGCAAATTTTGCTGCTTTGCTGTTAAACCTTTCTGATATACTGTACATCTATGTAACGAAAAGCTTTTCTTATATACCAGCGGATAGTTATAAGTAAAACAGAAGTGAGGGCTAATAGAACAGTTTCTTATAATCCTGTCCACAAGTAATCACAATATAGTCAACTAAATTTTTTGGCTGCATTCCAGAAGTTTTCAATATAGTTCAGCTTATAATGAAATTTGAGGTAAAATATAACTTGATAT